AAATAGGTCTTTTTATAAAGCCATAAATTCGTTAGGTTAGTTATTTTGGATTAGCCTAATATGTATGTATGCATTCGCAAGCACACACACTGTCAACACCTGCACAACGAATGAAAGTTTTTCATTAGATTTGACGAAAAAAATTTTAAAATATAATTGCCTTATGAAGTGCATTAGGGCAGAAAACGAGAACCGATAACTAATACTATTTCCTAAAAACCTAAAAAGGTAGGTTCCACAAGTAAAAAAAATTAAATTCGAGTTTTTGTTCTTCTAAAGACAATGTTTATTACATTGCATATACATATGTATGTATCTCGGAATTTTTAATTACACTAAAATCCTACTGTAAACTACAGTATATTGACAAAATATTTTCAAATCTTAAATACATTACTTACGCAATTTAGCTACAATATTATTTTTGTCTTGGGGTGGTGGATTTGACGAGTTGTTAAGCAAAGCTGTGAGTGTTGCATGCGATGAGCTTAGTGTACTTGGCTTTGTAAGTGGAGTTGCGTCGCTGGAGCTGGTGGCAATATTGCAACTTCCTGCAGCAGCAGTAGCAGCATTATTAGTATTTACTTTATTTAGTGGTATTACAGCTGCGTCTGCTGAAGATACTGTGGTAATATTGGCGATTGGGGTGGTCGTTTTAACACTACCACCGGTATTACTATTTGTACGGTTATTCTGAGCTGCAATCCCCTGGAGCAGTGCATTACGTAAGTGACTATTACCCTGGGCACCAGGACCAACGGAAAATGAGTTTGTAATTAATCCACGGCTCTTTATGTTCAAATCGACAAAGAATAACTTCATCTTTTGGATCATAAATTCTGGCACAGTAAATGTGTTCATAACATTAAGATCTATATTCGGCTTGTTTCGATATGTTTCGTGTGTTTGCTTCAATCGACAGACTTCTTCATGTATCAGAAAGAGAAAACGAGAATTGCGATTTTGTGCAGCTATAACATTTTGTGAACTTAGCCAATCTCGATCTTCATTGTCAGGTAAATAGCGGATTAGTTCAGGATGTTTGCTAGCTAAGCGCTCTTTTCCATCTGTGCCAAATCCAAAAGCTTGATTAGCCTGCACATCTAAAACGAATTTAGTTGTGGTCGAAATATGGGCTGTGTTCCAAAAAATTTGCCTTCGACCAGAAGTGGTCGAAGCCGGTAGAGTACCCGATTTCTGTTGTTGATTTTGCTGAGGCAAGGATTGAGATTGTTGCAAGAAGGTTGGCGTTGAACTCAGATTAGCTTTTGCATTTCCAGTACAAACTACAGTGCTAGACACATTAATTGGAGTAACGGGCTGCACTTGCTGCTGAGTTGAGACGGTTAACAGTTTTTTGGCGGGCAACTCATTGAAATCGGCAGGTTTAGGTGGTGGACGTCTGACAGCAAAACGTAGACTAGTTGCTTCATTGGTGGTATACTGTGGTATTGTATTGGGGGCAGTAATGGATACGCATGCTAATGGCTGCTTTATAGAGCGATAGGGATTGTATTGTGCCTTTGCGTTCTCTAATAGTGCACACGACATCTTTTGCAACTAAAAAATTTATTTACAACCAATTTATTAGACAAATTTGTATATATGTATGTATGTACTAAGGAAAATTACTCACAATTTCCTCAGATACAACGTTTTGACCCAAATTCTCTTTAATGTTTTGAAATGCTGGTTTGAAATAGGTCTGAAAAAATTCAAATATTAATTCATGTCAGGAAATCAAATTTATTACTTTTAAATTAATTATTTTCGCTTACCTCCATGTACTGCTTTATAATGACATCGATTTCATGGTCAAAGGATTGTTGAATGCTAATACGTAGCAACTCAAGCGAACGCATGGCCGATTCTGCAGTGGCCCCTGTACCACTTACTTGTACAGGACAACTTAAACGCTGACGTAAGCGCTGGAGCATCGTCTCGGCCATGTGAGGTGTAGTAACATATTTCTTAAATTTATTTAAACTTAATATTCGTGCAAAATTTTTTAGTTAATATATTATTCGTACCATGGTATCGATAGAAGCAGTGGATGTGTTCGTAGAAATGGCACTGTTTATGACTGGGAATGTAGGGTTTGGCGGCTGTTGTACCGATGTTTGGGCTGATTGTACTTCCAATTTCATTACTGGCGGACTAGCAACGCTAGTAACCATTGAATGTGTTGTTTGATTGGAGCAATTGGAGTCGTCCGAAGATGACTGTAAGCCAGTTGGCGACCTATTTGCTTCTGTAGAAGATGCAGAAGTGGAGCCTGCATCGCTTAGTATTTTCCAGCTGCGTTGGATTACCATTTTCTTTTGAATTTATTCCTTGTAATGTATTGTGTTTCTCAATTTCAAGTATGGTACAATACACTATTTTCTTCGTTGATACAAGTTTTCGTACTGTTAACTGATGTGAAATGGTTGCAGCACTGGCCAGGCACGCGAAATAATAAAGTTGTGTATCGATATTCTACTCAAGCTCCCGCACTGCTCACTGCTATCGTATTTGCTCTGTAGACCCGTTGAAGTGGTCATTGCGCAGATGCAAACAAACCGCTTTCTACCCCTAAAACATAAGTTCTCATTTAGTAGCATTTACGAAGCAACAAGAGAAACTATAACTGTTTTCCTAGTCACCACCATTAACATCACAGGTCAAAAATTGGTCAGCAGGCTCATCAATTTCTAATCTTCGTTCAGCTTCTAACAAAGCAAGCAGTGATCCATTTTCAGTCTTGTCAAATTTTGCGTACTCGTCTTCATCACAATTTACCGTTTCCGTTGTGTCCATTTCTGCTGAATTGGAGTGTTTTCGGAAGCGTATTTGTTTTTTGCAAGCTAACTTAGCATCAAACTCTTCCATATATACCAGTGGTTCAGTATAGTCGCTGGGCTTTTGATAACTTTCATTAACAGGATATCCTAATACGTCAGGAACCATGAATACAAAAAGCCACCCTACTAATGGTGTGGACCCACATGTATAACTTGATTCTTTGTGGTAAAACAACAATCCATCAAGCTCTGGTCCATTGTTAGGAAAGAATGGAAAGCGCAGCAGAGCTTCCGATACATTTTCAATATTCTCCATATCTAATCGTTCCAACAATATCAAAGGTTTTTCATTGTTTATGCCACGCTCGGCCAGGTCATGGCACTCATCAAACTTTGAACGTAACCAGAAAAAGCGAAATTGCGCCTCACAATGAATAAGTTCTTGATTCCCATAAATTAAGGCATCCAACACATAAAAGGTATCTTGATCAGAAGAATAAACACAGTCGAGTAACGTGCTTATTTTACTTCCTCGTTGTCCATTGTCACCGGGTAAACAAGTGTGAAAAGTCATCCGCTTACGGCCTGCTTTGGAATACATATCAGTACGTCCATTAGTAGCCATCAACAAACAACGCTGACCCTTTGGGCATGGTACCATGGCCCAATCATCCAAGCTCACGGGTCTGTCGCGGAGCCATTCAGATAGTTGTAGCGTATAGTCAGAACCATAAGCATCTTTTAAAGCCCTTGAAGCCCCTAATTTGCCACCATGTGCGCACAATTTAGTTTTGTGCCGGTTATCGCTCAAATCCGCATCGCGTTGTAAATCCTGCAGTAACAAACGTTTGCGTTTTTGCTCCTCTAATAGTTTTTTACGCCTCTCTTCTTGCAATTGAAATCTACCTTTGATGCTTTGCTTATATAAATCGCGAAACATTGTGAACAAATTCTCAATCTAAAAATGATAAGTACATAATTAAAATAAAAACAATTTACGGCTCCAAATACTTTTCATAAAAAAACCTTCTCGCAAATTAGAGCTGTGAAACTATCGATGGTACTATCGATACTAGCGAATGGTTATATTTGTATGCACTATCGAATGGTTGTCGGCCGCTATCGATAGTCTATGCTTGAGGAAATATATATGTACATATACGAGCCGTCATCGATTCGCCAACAGTTAGCGAGTGGCGAAACGAACGAACTCAAGCCGTCATCGATTCGCCATCAGTTAGCGAGTGGCGAAACGAACGAACTCAATGAGGTACAACCAAAGAACATAGATAAATTTTACTTTGGTCAAAACAGTACTTTGGTCTCGCTTTGATTTCGGAATGCTTACACATTGAGAAGTTAGCTTACTGCCAATAAAGAAGTATTACATATATGCATTTTCCCAAATAGAAAACACAAAAGAGAATGAACCAGAAGTTCTCTAAAGTAATTGAATCATTTAAATCGGGTGTAATTAAATTTGAAAAACAAAACTAGTTTGAATATCTTTTTGGAACCATACTATGGTGTTAGTGNTAATTATAACGTGTTGTCTCCTCTTATAGATTTACGTTCTTTGAGTTAGCGAATTTAAATTGTTGAGGCAGGTCATTAATAAAGATAAGGAACAATAAAGGACCACAGTGAGTCCCTTGTGGAATTCCTGACCAAGCATCGATAAGCAAAGATGATTTAACTCCTCCAATTGACNAAAACAAAACTAGTTTGAATATCTTTTTGGAACCATACTATGGTGTTAGTGATTCTGCCTCGATGGAACAAACTATTGATATATTCCAGGTTTAGTCAAATGTTGGAAATTCTTATATCGAAGAGAAAAGAACAAAGTTACTGAAAATCGC